CTGCAAACACAACGAGGGAACAGCACGATAAACTAGGAGGTGAAACCAGTCTGATTAGTGGGGACGTAATGCAAAATCTGTGTTAATGTCACAGAAATATCTAGGAAAAGATTGCATGATAAATAACAGAAAAACCTCTCTTCGTCCCACAAATGGGAAATGTACATTGTTACAGCAAAAGTAAAGAGCCAAAGATAGCTTTTGGTTCATTTAGAAGCATGCATAGAATAGTTACGATAACATTTTAAATGCACAAGTTACAAAATGCACATCCAGTGCATCCACTGGTGAATAAAAAAAATGGTGGTTGCTAAAAAGTGTCTAAACGAGACAACTAAATGTCATCACGCCCAACATTAGCCACCTTTAGCTTAGCGGTGGTGACCTGAAGTCATGTGACCGTGCTGTAGTTCCTTTATAGCCCAACATTAGCCGCCTTTAGCTTAGCGGTGGTGACGTGAAGTCATGTGACCGTGCTGTAGTTCCTTTATAGCCCAACATTAGCCACCTTTAGCTTAGCGGTGGTGACGTGAAGTCATGTGACCGTGCTGTAGTTCCTTTATAGCCCAACATTAGCCGCCTTTAGCTTAGCGGTGGTGACGTGAAGTCATGTGACCGTGCTGTAGTTCTTTTATAGCCCAACATTAGCCACCTTTAGCTTAGCGGTGGTGACGTGAAGTCATGTGACCGTGCTGTAGTTCCTTTATAGCCCAACATTAGCCACCTTTAGCTTAGCGGTGGTGACGTGAAGTCATGTGACCGTGCTGTAGTTCTTTTATAGCCCAACATTAGCCGCCTTTAGCTTAGCGGTAGTGACGTGAAGTCATGTGACCGTGCTGTAGTTCCTTTATAGCCCAACATTAGTTTTTTACTTCAAAAATCATAAAGTGGTGTTAATATGTGGAGATCATCCTGCTGAACAAAACGTGTAAGCATCACAAACGTTTGTTAGACATTGAATTTGTTGCAAAATTCCAAAATCCAATGGAAAAATCCCATTAGCTTTTTGTCGTGGGAGCCCTTGTGATGCTAACCTCCAGGTTGTACTACTAACATATGTCATCAGTGCACCTCTCTATTGCAAAACTTTAAAAAAGAAAAGGGGGTTGTGCATGAGAAGGTAGAAGGTCACGATGAAGAGAGAAATGGTCTGAAGTGTCTATGAACAAAAACACATAAAAGCTGTTGAAAAAACTCTGAAAAGCTCTTTTGGGTGATTTGCATTTTTGAGATGGTCCTCTCCTCCAACAGGTGAAGCATCAACATTTATAATAAACAACCAACAAATACATATTTCTTCTCAGACCTCCAACAAATACTCAAATGGAAGAATTTGAAATGTTTCGGTGAAGTATTCTTATATCCATGTTATAATACTGAACCCTGAGTTGTACAAATACAATTAAACCAGATAAAATAGAATAAAACTGGTATAAAACACAAGAATAAAAGTTACAGTGTAAGAAAGGAATCTGATTGAATCGAAAGCAGTGGCAAAAAGGAAAAAGTCTCTATCCTGAATTGGAAAAAGAGGATGTTCTAATACATATAATCTAATTGCATCTCAATGTTTAGTTCTGACTAAAAACAGACCTGGACGGTTCATAATGTAGACGCAAATCAGATATATGTATTGTTCCACTGTCTAGGTGTGATTGTCTTACATGAGTCCATTTATATGTGGTATTATTGGCACTGTTCATGGTATGGATTTCATTGTTTTTGGAAGAATGCTGCTGATTAATAGTTCAATAGTGTTTTATAAATGTTTTATCTTCACGGCCGACTGTAAATGTTCTACTTTTTAATGGTGCTTTAATTCTATTTTGAGATGTTGCAATTCTTGCTTATTTCTACTCTTAAATTTCTACTTATGTGCTACGCCTTGTTTTGTTTTGTTGTTTTTTATGCTGCTGCAACGCAAACATTTCCCAAATTGGGATCAATAAAGTACCTCTTATCTTATCTTATCTGATTAAGAGGAGAAAGTAAATAAAATCTAGTGTTTAAGAGACGACACAAACTTCAGTCTGCTGCTGTACACACATTTCTCTATTAGCATCAGCAATAAAGGAAGCAATAACAATCTCAATCTGCATGCAAACCATCACCAAATCAGCAGCATTATTCCACAATAAATATCCCAAAAAGAACATCCATAGTGCTCCAATACTAACACAAATCAATTGACTGCTTACCCATAATACCCTGGCATGTATGACAGTCACACAGGATGCATGGCTTCAGATTTATTCAGATAAACAGACCAGATGAAAAACAATGAAGGCCATCTCTGCGGAATTTCAAATGTGAGAAGGTCGAAGGTCAAATCAGAGCTGCGGATTCTGCGGCTGTATTCGATTCAGGAAGGTGTCATTAGGCCCGTGTGCACACGTATCACTCTCAGTGCCGTGTGCAGAGGCAGAGTCACATTATTCCACATACTCCACCTCTGCATTTTTGCATATGTCCAATTTAGAGGCTGTGATTGGCCAATTTTGTCAAGATGAATGCTTGTCCAAATGTCCTTGACAGAGGTCAGTAAGAGATGGCAGAAAGCATGAATAATGAATGTGCTATGTCCACCATGCTATATCAAGTAATGAGAATAGATTTGCGCAGGTGGATCTGGGTTATTATGTGCAGGTGTTCACTGGATCTGATACTGAGCCTTTCACTGTGGAGGTGTGAGATAACAAGGACGGGATACACCAAATATATCCATTCTGTTCTCCTTAATTCCAGCAAAAACGGCTTATTATGTTATAAATAATTATAAATAGTTCATCTGTAGAGGTGCCATCTACTTGCAGTCATTGTTGGAATCATATTTACGCATTATGCCATGAGAAACTAGTGATCAAGGTCAAAATCTACTCAAAATAATTGCACATCTTATCTTTATGTGTTGGTTTTTCCAGTGCATTATGAAGAGAAAAGAATAACGAGATAACATCTACAAGTGTACGACTTCCTTGTGTCTTCAATTGTAGCAATTTGTTGTAAACACTGATTCTTTATCGAGCAACAAAACCACTTTTTAGTTCGATCTGTGATGGAAAAAACGTAACTGTACTTTAAAATGGAAGAGACAACAAAAGCAGAAATAAATATATATTTTTGAACAGATCACACGGACTATTTCCATTCTCAGGCAATACTGTCGACAATTCTAGCTACAACAACTGTCTTTGTTATCTGATGAATAACAGACATTTTCCAGGAAATGTTTTTTGGAAAATACTTGGGAATCAATGAAGGTCTGAATGCTTTCCAGCATACGCATAGTCCAGTACGCACTATATCATAGTTGCAATAAAATCACTTGTGACTCTCTTAAACACCTTTTTCTTATTTAAAAAATATATTGAGTCTAAAAATATACTTTATTGATCCCAAAGTGGGAAATTGTTTTGTTACAGCAGCATGTTCACAAGCCATTGCAAATGAGATGAAGATATTGTAAAAGATAAACAGCTAATATGTACATATGTACAGTAGAAGGATATATATCTATAGAGTTTCACTATAGGTATATATATACAGTGCAACAGAACAACCTACTACTAAAAAAGTATAAACCTAGCCCCCAGTTTACCATTTTAAATACAGAGTTAAAAAAAATATCAGATATAAACTGCAGGTAGAAACTAAATATCCCACAGTGCACATGAGATAAGAACATTGTAGAATGAAAGCTAACATGTACACATATACAGTAGAAGTATATACATATATCCACACATATACAGTAGAAGTATATACATATATCCACATATATACAGTATAAGTATATACATATATCCACATATATACAGTAGAAGTATATACATATATCCACATATATACAGTAGAAGTATATACATATATCCACATATATACAGTAGAAGTATATATGTCTATAGACTTTCACTTTTGGTATATATACAGTGCAACAGAACAACCTCCTAAAAAAGTATAAACCTAATATGTACATGTATACAAAAGAAAGATATATATCTATAGAGTTTCACTATAGTACAGAATATGTTAGCATACAGTGCAACAGACAAACCTACAATTAAAAAAGTATAACCCTAGCCCCCAGTTTACCAGTTTAAATACCACGTTTAAAAAAAGATCTCCTTTAAATTGCAGGTAGAAATGAAACACCCCACAGTGCACCACTCCTAATGTGTGCTATAAAAGCTGACAGTATTGACTGCAGCACAGAGGAGCTCTCATCACAGACAGGTGGTTTCCTCCATGTCGATGCGTTATTGCACTAAACACTGAGCAAGTTGAACCACGAGGGATCAAAGCTCAGCAGAGCAGGGCGCAGGCGGTCCCTTCATACTGTAATTATGTTAATTGTTAATAAGAACCACCACCTCCATATATTACACTATTCCTCTGGGCAGAGCTGTTCAGGCCGACATGCAGCTGCAAACAGCAGAAAGGGGTCCATTTAAATGAGAAGGTTTCAAACACCAGCCAATAATGTACAGCTGTGTTTACGTTCGCCGTAAAATCTGTCAAATTTCAATCTCATAATGTGTAGGGAAATGATTCCACTTAAGCATAACGTGAAGTGTATTAAAGATAAGTTGGAATAATTAAATGTTTATGATCCATAGAGGCCTACGTGCATTTTATTATTAGAAACTGTATTTTTTTTCCCCTTTTATTTTGTATATTATTTTATTTTTTTAAGAGGCCTAAAATGAGGGTGTTTAGAGCCGTGCGTACTTTTTTTAAATATATTTTTATTTTTTTGCTATATGAGAATATGTTGGCCTAAAGCTGGGGAAGTTATTTTTGTTAAAATAAGAGTTCAAAACATAGACTTGTTCAAGAATTTCTCCCATTTCAACTTGCACAATTTTGAATCTGTATGTTTGAATATGGATCTTAAGTTGACGTGACGTTGAAGTCATGCTACTGTCCTCGGCTGTAGTTCCTTTATAGCATAACATTAGCATTTTGCTTCTGGCCATCAGATTTATGATTCGAAAATTATA